CTTTAGTATTTTATCTAATTATTTCTTACTTACATTTATTAGTTTAGACTATAAATACTTTTTCAATTATAATTATTAATTATAACAAAAAATTAGATAATGCAACAATCTAGTTAAAACTTATAGATACAATGACAAAAAAATAATTGTTTTGATGTTTAATGAGTCAAAAATAAAATCTTTTTTTTTTTTTATACAATAAATACTACAAATTTAATGAGATCAGACACTTTTCGCCCTAAGTTATATTTTGAAAATTACTAATACTTGGTGGCCTGTGTTACCGTGATGATTTTGTTATGAGTTATATAAATAGCTTATTATTATTTATAAACTAGTTGATAAGAAGTTGCTTACGCACATTACATAATCACACGCAGATGCCTTTTTAGTCGAAAGCAAATAAGATATAAGAGCAAAATGATTTAGTTGCCTCGTCAAGGTCGTATTAGATTCAAATATTAGGTCTACAAATATTTAGTCAATATTAAGTCGAGTCTATGAACGGAGCGACATGGGGGCTGTGTTATTTTGGTAATAGTCGTAAAAAAGAATTTAAGAACTAATTTTATGTGGCGCTCAGTCTAAAATTAATCAGAGTACGCCCACAATGTATGCGCTTGTTAACCAGGATAAGCAAATAGAGCGCAAATCTGATGCTGTTGTCATTGGCGTTGTCATTCCCGTTCCTGTTCCCGCTGTTTGTGGTACGCACATAAAATGGTGCATAATCAAATATTAGCCATGAGGCGAGCTCTCGCAGGAAACCTTTATTTGCCTTATTTGCCTGCGACTGGCATATATTTACCCTGGAAGTGACATCGAGACGCAGACGTAAGATGGCCCCGAAGTACATACCATGCGATGTCCTGCTGTGATTTATCTAACCGAACTGTTCCACGCCAACTGCTATATAAATGCAGTTGCCAATTGGGATTTGTTCATTCACAAGCTGCAAGTAGCTCGATACCCAGTGACTGTGCCGCCTCCTCTTGCTGTTTACGCTCCTGTTCTCCTCTTGCTGTCGTCCCTTGACAATGGCTCACAACAGCCTGACTGTGGCTCTGCTGGCGCTGGCCTGTTGCCTCTGCTGGTCTCTAGTGGAGGCTTCGCCCGACGAGGAGCGCTATGTGGAAAAGGAGTACAATCGAGATCTCTATGACTGGATTAACAATGTCGCACGCTATGGACGTGTCCAAATGCCAGCCACACTGTGCAAGTATCCAAACTATCTGGCCAATTCGCTGAACAACAATATGCGCATGCCCAAAAGGAATTCCGAGCTGATCAATTCGCTGCTCAGCTTGCCCAAAAATATGAACGAAGCGGGCAAGTAGATGATGGAAAGTGAACCATTTACAACTCGTTCGATAATAATGATATAGATACGATTTATGATATATGATATACATAGAGAAGAAAGACGGTATATTACTAAGTATAAAAGTCGCTTTAGAATTTCTAAACAATATATACAAACAAAAATGCAAAGGAAAAAAAAAACAAACAAAAAATATATATGTATATCTAGTTCTTAAGCCTAAGTTCTTCAATTTCCACATGACTCTCAAAAAATTCACCAATTGCCTGCAAAAATTGTCTTACAAATTTATGCGCATTTTCTGGCAGCTACAAATGTAAACCTTTAAGTAAACTATTTAAAAGAAAATTAAAAATGAAAATATGTTAAAACATATTTAGCTTTAACTTCGAATTTTTATGATAATATTTATTTGAGCCAAGTGAAGCGCTGAACGCAAATAGCTCGCAGATATTCAACCCAGGCAACAATTTTTTATGTTTTTTAGGCTTCTATTTTTTTATTTTTTTTTATTAAAAATTGAACAATTCTTCACTTGGTT